CCTCCTCTCTCCTCCCCTCCTCCTCTCTCCTCCCCTCCTCCTCTCTCCCCTCTTCTCCTCCCCCCTCCTGTCTCCTCTCCTCCCCTCCTCCTCTCTCCCCTCTTCTCCTCACCCCTCCTGTCTCCTCTCCTCCCCCTATCCCTACCTCCTCTTCTCTGCTCTCCACCCACCTGTCTCCCCTACTCACCACCCCTCCTGTCCCTTCTCCTCCCTACTACTTCTGCCTCCTCTCTCCCCCACTCCTCCTATCTCTTCTCCTCCTTGTCTTCTCCTGCTTCACCCCTCACCTCCTGCCTCTTCTTCTTTTCACGCCCTGTCTCCTCTTCTCCCCATACCTCTTCTCTCCTCTTCTATCCTCCTGACTTCTCCTCCCCTCTACTTTCTTGCTTTCCCATCCCTACTGTCACCTCATCTCCCCTCTTTCCTCTCCTCCCCCACTCCCTATCTCATCTCTTTCTTCTATGCTTTCTTGTCCTCACCTGTTGGTGTGTCTACTCTCTTTCTTCCTTCTTTCCTTCGTTCCCTCTCTTCTCCCCAACCCTTCTATCTCATCTTCTTCTCCTTTTCTCACTTTTCCTGCCTCCTCTTCTCCTTCACCATTCTTCTCTGTGATTCTCCACTCACCTATTTTTCTTCTCTCGTCTCTCCCCCCACTATGCCTCCTCTCCATTTTACTTTCTCTCCTCTCCTCCCCACCCTTTCTGTCTCCTCTCCCCCCTCTTTCTTCGCCACCCCTCTTGTTTCCTCACCTTCCCTTCTCCCTTTCTCTTTCCTCTCCTTTTTATTCTCCTCTTTTTCCTTCAACTATTTTTTCTTTCTATTTGTATCCACTCCTTCCAGCAAGCAGCATTCCCGGCCTCTACCTCTCTCCCATCTCTCCTTGTCGCTACTTCTTCCCATCATGTCTCCCCTTTTTCCGTTTCCCGTCCCACCCAGCCCCCTCAGACGCTCTCCACAGGTGGCGGAATGAGGCTTGAAGCCGTCATGGAGAACTTGCAGCGCCAACAGGCTGCTCGGTTGGCCATGGAGGAAAAATTGCGCCAGGAAAAGGACAGAGAACTGCGCTGTCTGGTGGAGTCACGCATTCAGCAACAAGCGTTGGCTATACGCCATTACCAAGCCGCTGTAAGAGCGGCAGCCGCCGCGGCGGTGACCACCCCCTCGATCTCCAACACCACCAATTCAACCCCCACTACCACATCATCCAGCTCAACCTTATCCCAGAACCGGACTTCTCTGATCTTTCCACGCACCCCAGTCCAGAAATCAGAGGATGAAGATTCTAAGCACAAAAGTGAAGGGGAAGATGTAGACTTTGATGATGACGACATGGATGACGAGGAAGGGGAAGAAGAGGAGGAACATATGGAGATGAACTCAAATGTACCCCCTGGCTCACCTACCAAGGGACTGTCCAGGGTCAACCAATCACAGTTACCAAATACCAGTTCCCAATCACACAGCTTATCTCCTAATGGACAATCGGGACATCACGAGTGGACGTACGAGGAGCAGTTCAAACAGGTAAGGCATGAGACCGAATGTTCTTTTTTTTCTCTCTGAGTATTAGTCATTAACAAGAGCGTGATGAACTTTGGGCAAAGTATCACCAAAATGCATTCTAATGTGGAATTGTGAGCTTTTTATTTTGCATAATGTCTTCATTTTGTACAGTTTTGGGTTTCTCATCACTATTTGTGTCAAGGTGACAACAGTCACCAGGAAAACCTGAGTGGGTGAATCCATCCCAGTGAAGACACAGATGGGGTCCTATCCATTGACTACTCCATCCAAAGCTTAAAATGTTTTGAATTCAGATCCTCTTAGGCCACACTGAGCCATTTTTGCAGCGATATCGCTCTATGTAGCTTCTCCAATCCATTTCAATGGAGCTGTTCACATCTCGTCGCTCAATATCGCTCAATATCGCTTGTAGCTCGTCGCTGGTAGCTTGTCGCTCCTACATGACCCTTTTTTAGAGCGATTTCGAGCGATTTTGCTCCTGATTGCATACAGCCCAATAGGAAAAAGTTGCGCGATGTTGCTCAATATCGCTCGTCGCGCAATATCGCTCAAAATCGCGCGATTTTCATGTCGCTCAGTGTGAATGAGGCCTTATAGAGATTTTCCTGTGGAGAAAGCCTACACTTGTCCCTCTGAGGCCCCATTCACACTGAGCGACTAGAAAATCACGCGACTTTGAGCGATATTGCGCGACGAGCGATATTGAGCGACATCGCGCGACTTCTTCCTATTGGGCTGTATGCAATCAGGAGCAATATCGCTCAAAATCGCGAAGGGTCATGTAGGAGCGACAAGCTACCGGCAACGAGCTACAAGCGATATTGAGCGATATTGAGCGACGAGATGTGAACAGCTCCATTGAAATGTATTGGTGAAGCTACATAGAGCGATATCGCGCAGAAATATGAGCGATATCGCTGCAAAAATCGCGCGATAAATCGCTCAATGTGAACGTGGCCTCATATTGACCTCTAGATGTGTCCAGCTCAGAATCCTCACCAATTCACCAAGGTACCATTGCATTGATTGGCTTTCTTTGGCTGCCCTTGAAGGCCTTCTGTTGCTCAAAGGGTTTCGGAGGTTGGCTGCACCTACTGTATGTGACGCAGATCATAATGGAAGCCAGTGGGATTTTGAAGGCAGGCTTTGACTTTTGGAACATCTCTGCTTATCTACTGTCAGGTGGTGGTGGGGGCAGGGGGGTTAAAGGAGAACTATGAGGTGAGTGATTTTCACTCATCCTTATAGTTATAGCCGACCTGTGACGATGAGACTGTCACAGGTCGGCTCAGTAGATCGGGAAGTGAGCGAACACATACCGGCGTTCGCTCACCTCTCCATCCTGTCACGGCAGAGAGCCGTAACAGGGGAGGGACTGGATTCCCCCCTCCCCGCTCCGATCCTCCAGCGCTGACTGGCGGAACGGACGTGGAGGAGGCGGGTACAGCCTCTAGATAGGCAGAGCCAGCTGTCAGTCACGCAGACATTGCGATATCGCTCTATGTAGCTTCTCCAATCCATTTCAATGGAGCTGTTCACATCTCGTCGCTCAATATCGCTCAATATCGCTTGTAGCTCGTCGCTGGTAGCTTGTCGCTCCTACATGACCCTTTTTTAGAGCGATTTCGAGCGATTTTGCTCCTGATTGCATACAGCCCAATAGGAAAAAGTTGCGCGATGTTGCTCAATATCGCTCGTCGCGCAATATCGCTCAAAATCGCGCGATTTTCATGTCGCTCAGTGTGAATGAGGCCTTATAGAGATTTTCCTGTGGAGAAAGCCTACACTTGTCCCTCTGAGGCCCCATTCACACTGAGCGACTAGAAAATCACGCGACTTTGAGCGATATTGCGCGACGAGCGATATTGAGCGACATCGCGCGACTTCTTCCTATTGGGCTGTATGCAATCAGGAGCAATATCGCTCAAAATCGCGAAGGGTCATGTAGGAGCGACAAGCTACCGGCAACGAGCTACAAGCGATATTGAGCGATATTGAGCGACGAGATGTGAACAGCTCCATTGAAATGTATTGGTGAAGCTACATAGAGCGATATCGCGCAGAAATATGAGCGATATCGCTGCAAAAATCGCGCGATAAATCGCTCAATGTGAACGTGGCCTCATATTGACCTCTAGATGTGTCCAGCTCAGAATCCTCACCAATTCACCAAGGTACCATTGCATTGATTGGCTTTCTTTGGCTGCCCTTGAAGGCCTTCTGTTGCTCAAAGGGTTTCGGAGGTTGGCTGCACCTACTGTATGTGACGCAGATCATAATGGAAGCCAGTGGGATTTTGAAGGCAGGCTTTGACTTTTGGAACATCTCTGCTTATCTACTGTCAGGTGGTGGTGGGGGCAGGGGGGTTAAAGGAGAACTATGAGGTGAGTGATTTTCACTCATCCTTATAGTTATAGCCGACCTGTGACGATGAGACTGTCACAGGTCGGCTCAGTAGATTAAGATGTAGACTTTGATGATGACGACATGGATGACGAGGAAGGGGAAGAAGAGGAGGAACATATGGAGATGAACTCAAATGTACCCCCTGGCTCACCTACCAAGGGACTGTCCAGGGTCAACCAATCACAGTTACCAAATACCAGTTCCCAATCACACAGCTTATCTCCTAATGGACAATCGGGACATCACGAGTGGACGTACGAGGAGCAGTTCAAACAGGTAAGGCATGAGACCGAATGTTCTTTTTTTTCTCTCTGAGTATTAGTCATTAACAAGAGCGTGATGAACTTTGGGCAAAGTATCACCAAAATGCATTCTAATGTGGAATTGTGAGCTTTTTATTTTGCATAATGTCTTCATTTTGTACAGTTTTGGGTTTCTCATCACTATTTGTGTCAAGGTGACAACAGTCACCAGGAAAACCTGAGTGGGTGAATCCATCCCAGTGAAGACACAGATGGGGTCCTATCCATTGACTACTCCATCCAAAGCTTAAAATGTTTTGAATTCAGATCCTCTTAGGCCACACTGAGCCATTTTTGCAGCGATATCGCTCTATGTAGCTTCTCCAATCCATTTCAATGGAGCTGTTCACATCTCGTCGCTCAATATCGCTCAATATCGCTTGTAGCTCGTCGCTGGTAGCTTGTCGCTCCTACATGACCCTTTTTTAGAGCGATTTCGAGCGATTTTGCTCCTGATTGCATACAGCCCAATAGGAAAAAGTTGCGCGATGTTGCTCAATATCGCTCGTCGCGCAATATCGCTCAAAATCGCGCGATTTTCATGTCGCTCAGTGTGAATGAGGCCTTATAGAGATTTTCCTGTGGAGAAAGCCTACACTTGTCCCTCTGAGGCCCCATTCACACTGAGCGACTAGAAAATCACGCGACTTTGAGCGATATTGCGCGACGAGCGATATTGAGCGACATCGCGCGACTTCTTCCTATTGGGCTGTATGCAATCAGGAGCAATATCGCTCAAAATCGCGAAGGGTCATGTAGGAGCGACAAGCTACCGGCAACGAGCTACAAGCGATATTGAGCGATATTGAGCGACGAGATGTGAACAGCTCCATTGAAATGTATTGGTGAAGCTACATAGAGCGATATCGCGCAGAAATATGAGCGATATCGCTGCAAAAATCGCGCGATAAATCGCTCAATGTGAACGTGGCCTCATATTGACCTCTAGATGTGTCCAGCTCAGAATCCTCACCAATTCACCAAGGTACCATTGCATTGATTGGCTTTCTTTGGCTGCCCTTGAAGGCCTTCTGTTGCTCAAAGGGTTTCGGAGGTTGGCTGCACCTACTGTATGTGACGCAGATCATAATGGAAGCCAGTGGGATTTTGAAGGCAGGCTTTGACTTTTGGAACATCTCTGCTTATCTACTGTCAGGTGGTGGTGGGGGCAGGGGGGTTAAAGGAGAACTATGAGGTGAGTGATTTTCACTCATCCTTATAGTTATAGCCGACCTGTGACGATGAGACTGTCACAGGTCGGCTCAGTAGATCGGGAAGTGAGCGAACACATACCGGCGTTCGCTCACCTCTCCATCCTGTCACGGCAGAGAGCCGTAACAGGGGAGGGACTGGATTCCCCCCTCCCCGCTCCGATCCTCCAGCGCTGACTGGCGGAACGGACGTGGAGGAGGCGGGTACAGCCTCTAGATAGGCAGAGCCAGCTGTCAGTCACGCAGACATAATTGTCGGGATCCGTTTCAGCTGCGGCGTCTCAGTATATAGGGAGCTGTAGCTCCCTATATACTGAGCTTAGGGTGACGGGAGGACGCTAGTTTGTGTCCTCCTGTTACCCTTAGGAGAACTATGGGGAAAAGCCCTGACCCCATAGTTCTCCTTTAAGTGAAGGTAAGTGAAGGCTTCCACTTTATCTGAATGTACATTTAAGGTGTACCTGTGCTTCTCTTTAATGATTTATTTAGTCATTTAATCGTCCCCTCATTGGGCGGAGTGGGGCCCCATTACCTTACTCTGGCTAATGATTTTCAGAAGTCATTTCTCTTTCCTACATTCACACTCCGGTTTCTGTAAGGCTCGAGGAAGGAAATGAGGTGAGAGGTCCGACCCGGGGCATCTCTGTTGTCACCGCTGAAGTGCTGAGGCTGGGTGTGAGCTCCTTGGGTCGAGCAGGTTCCTGACTTTGTATTGCCGAATATAATTACCTAAAGATTATTTGTCAGGGGAAAGGGAATGATCCCAAAGAGACATTTGGAGGCCGGGTGACATCTCAAACATTGGGTTTTTTTTTTTTTTTACTGACGCTAGCCAAAAATTAATGGACAGCCCAGAATGTTTAAGGTGCCCGCAGACAGCCAGATATTTCCTAAATCAGGGGTTCTCAACCTGTGCAACCTCAAGACCCTCATTTGTCTTCGGTCATTAAGTCGCGACCCGAGTCGCACTGCAATGGAACACACGGCATTAGGGTGCGTTCTGGCGCGGGCGTACGATGTGTGGGTGGGCGGTGCGTTTGGGGTACCATTCAAATGAATGGCAAAGCAACGCACCTCCCAC